CTTTTCTCTCGTCCCTATATCTCCTTTTCTGTCAGTCTACCTCCTCCATTTAGTTCTTGATTTTGATTATTGCATTTTTGTTTTGTTCTTTTATACTTTCTAGTTTTTCAGAATAGCTTCCTATCTATTATAAGCCCGATAACACTGTGTCTTTTCCTAGACAATATCAGAATAATGTAGGCTCTGTTGCCACTTCCTTTTGTTTCTCCTAGTTCTTGTTTTAAAATATTTTCTTATCTATTTCCATGCCTATTTGGTTTCGCTTTTGTTGTTTGTTTCGTTTTCTTTTTGACTAGATAATATTTTTGCAGAATCTCTTTTATAGATCGTTTGAGACCTAGGGTGAAATCTTGACAAGAGGATGTAATTCTGTTATGTGCCTAACTCTGGTACTGTAATCATTTTCAGGGAATAAGGTGGTTCAAAGCAGATGGCCATGCCTTCATAGCTGGGTTTGTTATTATTTTCTATGATGAATTTTCTTAAAAACTTGGTAGCAAGACTGCTATCATAATATTCCTTAATATCATGTCTTTGTTCATAGCATAGTGCTCTTTTTTTAGAGGAAAAAGTAACGAAAAACAAGTTTGTTTCAGTTTATGTATAATTTCCATATTTTCTCTTCAGAATACAAATTCATCAAATGACTCAACTGAAAATATCATGACATGATATTTCAAAATGGTAACTGGATGTTCTCATTAAAAAAAAAATTCTGAGTAGAAATATTATATATATATATATATATATATATATATATATATCTCAGGTTAAATGATTCGGTCAATAGCATGATAAATGTCCCAGCGAGTAAAAAATGATTTTAACATTTAAAAAGTTAGAAGTAGTTTGTGTTTTTTTTTAAAAAAAGTAAGCTTATATTGTAATGTGGTCATTTACATAAATGGAATCATTATTTAGATGACATATAATGACATTATTTACCTTTTCAAAGCCCTTAATAAATATTTCAGCCTAAATCTGTTTTCTAAAAAGCTCTGGCTGTTTGCTTAGTGGGAAGGGGAGATGATTATCTCTTAGCTTCCACACAGAAATACTTTGATGTTGTGTTTTTAATTAAGTCAGACAGAAGACTTCTGAAGGCTTTTAATGTTTGTATCTAATCTTTAATACAGAAAGGTTCTGAATTTTAAAAACATTATTTAATTTAAAAATCAGAAATATTCATGTAATTTTTTTATAGTGCAATTATTATCCTTTTAGAGAATTATTGTTTATCCCTACATTTTTCCCTTCACATTCTCTTTACCTTTTATAATTTCAGTGTAAACTTGATCATCACATAAATCTTAGTTTATTTTCTTATTTTAGAAATGAGTTGTTCATGTGCATATCTCAGATGACTATATTGAGATATATCATGATTAATCATTTTATTTATGGTGGTTGGTTGTTGTGTGCCGTGGAGTCGGTTCCGACTCATAGCAACTCTGTAAAGAATTTCCAACGCTGTACATCTTACTGGAGCAGAAAGCCTCCTCTTTCTCCCACATAGTGGCTGGTAGATTCAAACTGCTGACCAGCTCATGACCCACTACGCTACCCGGGCTCCTTGTTGTTATGATAAGTGGTCTTAAGCCACTATTTCTATTAGGACCCTTTACACTATTTTAAACTCCAGATGATCCTGATGAAAGTAAATAGAACAAAATCATCACATCATTTGTGTGTTAAGTTGCTGGATTTTGGAGAAACACTCAATAGATGCTCCTGCCTGTTCACCAAGAAGTGTCTAACTTCTTGTTCTTGGTAAGTGCTGTCGAGTCGGTTCCGACCCATAGTGTTTCCAAGGAGCATGGCTGGTGAGCTAGAACCACCCACCTTTTGGTTCAAATGACTTTGCAGTCCAGCGCATTAGCCCACAGTGCCACACCAGGATTCCACATTTAACTATGGGTACTCCTTAATATCTGTCAGTAGCTCAGCTTTCAATTGTATATATTTGAATGAATAAAAAAAAAAAGATAACCCACCACACTTGAGCCTCTGTGGATGGCATATGAGGGTGCTGATGGTGCCCCCCCAAGCACCCAGCTGCCAGATGCTCTTACCTGGATTGCTGAGGGCCGGACGATATGCTTAGTACCAGGCTCAGGGCCCATAAACCACCGTATGGCCTGGGAGCTGCCTCTGGTCCTGGGCAGATGGAGCCCAGTTTTTATATCACTTTAAAGAATTGTGGTGGATAACCCTAAGGTGACCGCAGTGATCCTTAGCTTCTGGTATTCACACTGTTGTAGGATTGCTAGAAGGTCAGTAGAGTTGAGATGACAGTGGGGAGGTATTATTCCATCTTCCTGAGTGTGAGAATATGTCAAAATATGCTGAATATTGGTCAAATATAGAACATGTGCCAAATGTGATGGAATATCACTATGATTATGTTACATTATATGACAATTGAGTGTCACTTCCACAAACACGCTATTTTATACAAGACTGAGTCATGCTAGAAGATTGGCCTTAGAGACTTTCTGCCATGCTGAGTTTGAAGAATTAAATGGTATTATGAAGCTTGCGTGGCGCAGAACCTAGGGCATTCTCTAGGAATGGGGGCTTCCAGCGAGACAGATGCCAACATTGCCACTTCTATGTTGTTATTAAGTGCAGTTCTGTATAAGGGTTTCCGAGCCTGCAAATCTCTGTGGGAGCAGAAAACCTCCTTTTTATCCTGCTCTCTACTTGCAAGGAAATTCTGCCTGGGGGAGCCGGGAAGCCCAGCCTTCTCCAGGGGTACCTCGAGTGGGAGCCCAACCCCAGCCACAACTTGCTGGACGCCTTGAATGATTCCCAGCTCCAGCTAAGACCCTGAAGCAGAGAAGTGAACTCAGCTGTGTCCGGACTCCTGCCCCTCAACTGTGAGGAGAGAACAAATACATATTAACTAAAGCCATTAAGGAGTCCCGGGATGGTGCTGTGGGTTAATGCACTGGATTGCAAAGTTGGTTTGAACCACAAAGTCAGTGTTCAAATTTACCAGCCGCTGCTAGGAAACCCTATGCAGGGTCACTCTGAGTCCCAACCAGCTGATGGCATTTAACAACTACAAAGCCATTAAGACGGAGCTCTGGCAGCATAGTTGTCCTACAACACCATTTATTGTTGTTAAGTGTTGTTGAGTTGGTTGCGACCCTGTATAAAGTGAGGAGTCACTGGTGAACTTGAACCGCGAACCTTGCATTTCAAATTGACTTTGCAGTTCAGCCCGTTAACCTACAGCAGGACCCCAAACTAATATATAAGATTATACGGAACCTTTTAATCTATTATTATAGCGGAGTATGACATTCTAGTGATAAATGATTCCTTTAGTGTGTGTAAATACTTGGTACAAAGCGATGGCACTTTAGGAGAGAAACTTGAAAGAAAGAATCCGATTCTGAATTAGCAATAATGAGTATTTCATTTTCTAAACCTAGAAAACTACTGCGTATCATAAACTTTAACTTCACCCGAAGTTCCTTTGTTTCACTAAGAATAAAGTTTGTGGCATTAAGTCGACTATATTTGTGCTGTAATTTTTATGTTGTTGTTACTGACACTGAATCGGTTTAGACTCCGAGTAGAGGGTTTCCGAGGAGTGGCTGGTGAGTTTGAACTGCTGACCTTTTTATGGTGGAAACTGACCTTGCAGGCCTGTTCTTATCCTCCGGTACCGTTAGTCCATTGTTGTTGTTGTTAAGTGCCGTTGAGTCGATTCTGACCCATAGCAACCCTGTATAGGGTTTCCAAGGAGTAGCTGGTGAGCTTGAACCACCAACCTTTTAGTTCAAATGACTTTGCAGTCTGACGCATTAGCCCACAGCACCACACCAGGACTGTAGTCCATTAGTGTAGATAAATGAGTATTCTTATATTGTTTATTATTAGTATTATTATTTTTAATTTTTACCCCTTATGAAAACAAAATGTAGTAAACACATGGCTGAAAAATACATAAAACTGTAACCCAAAGTATTTGACTTTGATTACTGATCTCTGATACTTGGCCATGATTTAAAAATATACATGTATTAAAATTATCCCTCTGTTGTGATGAACTCTACGGAAACTAAAGACATCAATAACTTACTGTAGAAGTGTGTTCCAAGAAGTAATAGTTCACAAAACCAAGCCCTATCTCTGCTAAACACTAGTTGTCACTTTCATTGTAGCATAGAAACCGGGATTGACACATGAACTTCCAATATTTTGAACATACTTAATGATTTCCTCCCACTGCTCTAAGTAACCCTATTTCTGAGGTCTTCGAGCTCATGAGTTTGAATGTTCATATAGTCCTCCATTTTGTATACTATGTGAATATGAATTTAATTTGAGTTCCTGAATTACACCTGTGGTAGTGTTTTATATTTTATATGAGTTTTGTGATGCTGTGTGGGTTAATGTGCTGGGCTGCAGAGTTGTTTTGAACTGCAAGGTTGGCAGTTCAAGCTCACCAGCTGCTCCTTGGGAACCTTATACAGGGCCACTGTGGGTCAGAGCCAACTCAATGACACTTAACAACAGCACCAACAATTTAGAGAAAACTTTGAGGTGGTCTCTCTTTTCTATAGACTCACTGATGTAGAAATTTGGAAAAATATATTAAGTTTAAAGATTATCACAAGTTAGATGTTGATCTGGTTTTATGAACTTTCCTCGATTTTCTTCTCCTAAAAATACTGTATTGTTACCCATCCTTCCATCCTTGTATTTTTGAGAATGGATCCATATCCCCGTGTCATAACCCCATCTGTCCTGCTCTGTCACTGCCCTTTTAGTCTTCTCTGTGTTTATTTTATTCCTTGGTTTATTTCTTTTCTCAGTACTGCTTGTAAACAGGTTTTCTAAAGTTTATTCCTTTGAAACTTTGTTTTTAAAACTTTCAGTTAGTTTTTATATATAGTTTAAATATCTTTGTGCTTGAGGATAGTGTGCAATTTTTTAATTACATTGTTGAATTGTAAATGAGTTTTTTTTTTTTTTTATTTCTGCAGATGTGACTCTGAAAACCGCTATGTTGGTAATCCACTGAGAGGGACATGCTATTGTAAGTATTTGTCTATTTTTCATTGTAAATAAATTGATTGTATTACTTGTTTCAAGTCCCTGGGTGGCGCAAATGATTAAGGTTGGTGGTTCAAATCTAACCAAATGCAATTCAGAAGAAATGTCTGGTGATCTACTTCTGAAAGATCATAGCCTTTGACAATCCTGTGAAGCACAGAAGGGATTATATGAGTCAGAATCCACTTGATAGCAACTGTTTTAAAAGTTGGTTTTCTTCCTGTGAAGCACAGAAGGGATTATATGAGTCAGAATCCACTTGATAGCAACTGTTTTAAAAGTTGGTTTTCTTCCTTTATTATTAGTTTTAGGTGATTTTACAGTTACAAGAAGTCATCTTGAGGAACCGATATTGCCATTAATATGCTACAGTTTTCCATTTCTTCAATCTGATATTATACCTTCATTTAGACCAGTGTTCTTTTCCTCTAGTCTCTTCATCTTAGTTGGTGTACTTTTTTCTACTCTGAGGAGTAACATAGCAATAGAATTTATTGTGAACATGGAACAATGTATAGAACTTGAGCAAACTCAGCTGGCTGTTAGTGCAGTGGTTTTCATTATGGGGAATTTTTGAACAAGTGAATTTTACAAGTGATAGATTTTTTTTGTTGTTATTTTTACAGGGACCAGTTTTGTTCATTGCTAGAGAGATGCTATAGTTTTTTGCAGACAGATGCTTTCATTGGGTAATGGTTAGATGATAGGTGTATGGTTAACTTTGTAAGAAATCACGATACAGTTTCTCAAAGTTGTATCATTTTACATTCCTTTTGGCAGTCCCACACGTTGTGTGTGTGTTGTTAAGTACCATCAAGTCGGTTCCGACCCATAGCAACCCTGTATAAGGTTTCTGAAGAGCTGCTGGTGAGCTTGAACCCCGCCGACCTCGTGGTTCAAACCGATTTTGCAGTCCGTCGCATTAACCCACAACACCACACCACACCAGGCCTGTACACTTTGTATAGTTAGTCTTGTTAACTTCAGCCAGTCTAGTCAGTGTACAGTGGTAGCTCATAGTTACTCTTACTTGCCTTGCTGGACTAATGATTTTTTTATGTGGTTATATGCCGTATGGATATTTTGTTTAAATTATCTGTTTAAATTAATTGTATATTTTAAACATTGAATTGTTTACTAATTACTGAGTTTTCAGAGTACTTCATACACTCTGTTACAAGTCCTTTGTCAGATACATAATTTAAAAATAGTTTCTCATTGACTTGTCTTCTCATTTCTATTAACAGTCCTCTTTGAAGGGTAGACCTTTTATATTTTGATGAAATTAATTTACCGATTTGTTTGTGTGTGGTGCTGTGGGTTAATGCACTGGACTGCAAAGTCGGCTTGATCCACAAGGTCAGCGGTTCAAGTTCACCAGCTGCTCCTTGGAAACCCTATGCAGGGTTGCTATGGGTCGGAACTGACTTAATGACACTTAACAACAGCAGTGATATTAGTTAGATAGTAATATTAGTTACTAGATAGACATACTGATATTATTAATAGTGATATTAATTAGATGTTAGATAGTAATATTAGTGTCAGATCTAAGAAATCTTTAGTCTAACGCAAGGTCACCAAGATATTCCCCTTTGTTTTCTCTGAGAAGTTTTATATTTTTAGGATTTATGTTTAAAGTATATGGTCCAGTTTGAGTTATTATTTATTTATATTTTGTGGATTAAGGTTGTTTTTTCTGCACATGGCTATTTAAATGTTCCAGAGTTGTTGCTAGAGAGTCAGATGTCTGGCGATGTGTGGCTCTATTTCTGGATTCAATTCTGTTTGTTCAGTTTTTTGCCAACATAGTACTGTTTTTGCTAATTAAATGATATTTGATGGTATTTAAATTTTTTTTCTGCATTCATATTATGTAATTATGGAAAAACCTTTAACAATGAACTCAGCAGGATTACTATTCTTGTTTAAAAATAGGAATAGTTAGAAAATCATATGTGAATTTTAAGCATTAGCTAAATGAAACCAAAACCTCTGGGTCTGGTACTTTCTTCTTGTTATTGTTTTGTTGAGTTTTGTGCTCAGGTCCTGTAGTGATAGAGGTTAGAATGCTGTGATAGTTAAGCATCACAGGTTAAGCATCCTGTGATGCCTAGGGGACCTTGTCATCTTTTTCGTGCAGTCCAGTCTAGTGTAAGTATGTACATACCATATATAAATACAAACACATACAGATTAGTAAGTGAAGATATAATGTGAGCATCATTTTCTGGTAGCTGGTGTAGTGCTGTAGAATAAGCACTGGACTGCTAACCACAAGGTCGTTGGTTCAAGCCCATCAGTTGTTCCTTGGAAACTCTATGCAGTGTCGCTATGAGTCAGAACTGACTTGAAAGCTCTTAGCAACAACAACAGCATGTTAAAACAATGCCCTGTTGTGGTGCTGTAGGGTAAGCACTGGACTGCTGCCTGCGAAGTTGGCAGTTAAAACCCACTAGCCGCTCTTTGGAAACCCTGTATTGACTCCATGGCACACAACAACAAAACTATTTAAAAAAGCAAAGGAAGCTGGTGACATTGATTTTATAACATATTTTATTTAACTGATGTTAAAAATATTTTCATTTTAACATACACTCAATATTTAAAAATCAGAGGTAAGTTTTTTGTTTTTGTTTTTTTATTTTCCTTCTGTATAAAAATGGCCCAAGTTCTTTCTTAGTTTACTAAAAGTTCGGGTGTGCTTTTTCTTTGGTGCTATTTTAAACGAAGTGTGCAATTTTTACTTACTACGCATCTCAATTTGAGCCAGTTCTTTTTCAACTACTCAGCAGACATGTGTAACAAGTACCATATTGGACAAGGCAGATCTAGGCTGAACACTAACTACTTCCTTTCCCCTTTGAAGATGGTAAGGAAATCCTCATGAGACACTAGATGGCACTCTTGACATTTGTTATGAGAACTTTAAACCCTAAGACCATTTGAGGGAATCTGTTTAAAAAATAAAAGACCAGTAGTTCTCGTAATAGTATTAGTGGAAGCGATCCAGATTTAAAAGATTAGATCAAAATTTAAAATGCAGGTCCACAGCTGTAACTTAAAGTAATCGGGTGCAGTGTGATGCTAACTTAATTGAAAGTAATGCACTAGTCACTTTTCGGTTTAAAACCAAAAGCTGAATGTATTGGAAAACTGTCATGCCTCACATAGAAAAAAAAAATTTTTTTTTCCTAGTGATGTTATTTAATATGATTGACCCTTGTAAATACTGAGTTCCTTCATTTATTCTTGATACATAATATACAAAGTAATAGTCACCAAATAGCTTCTTTTTTTTTTTTTTCTTTGTAAATAATTAAACAAAATTTTAACAGTTTTAACAAAGAAAACCTAAAACTGAGACTGTTATATATAATAGATCTCAGGGAGTAGAATCATCATACAGAAAGTTGCTTTTAGCAATCATCTTCTTTATGCCCCAACTGCATTTAGTTTTGAATATGTGTAATGTCTTAACCGAGGAGCATTTGTGGCTCTGTAAGATAAACATTGAACTGGCAACCACAAGGTTGGTGGTTCAAGCCCACCAGCACCTCCTCAGGAGAAAGATGAGGCCGTAAAAAATGTACAACCTCAAAAACCCTATACAGGATTGCTATGAGTTGGAATTGACTGGATGACTCTTAACAACAACAACAATGTCTTAAGTACTGACATAATTTATTTTCTTTATTTCCAAAAAGTCTGGTATATTTTGCTGTTTCACCTTTTACTATTGGAACATTAATGTTTTATTTGAATTTCTTCTATTGTTGTTTAGAGTTCAGGGTGGAATTTTCTGATGATAAAACACTGCCGATTTTGATAGTAAGGAATTGAATTCCTACTTTTATGGTCAGTGCTCACCTCTGCCATTCATTTGACCTCAGTTTGTATTGCTAGTAGAAAGAAATGTTTATACATTAATCTTGTTGTAAACTGATTATTACTGGTTTATTTCATTAATGATTTCAGTGTTTTGGTCGGAAAGACATTATTTACTGGGTTTCTCTCTCTCGTTTTTTGTTCTTTTTGTTGCTATATGCCAGATAATATTCCTAAAGAATTTTATTATCACTTCACATTTATAAGACAGATATCCCGAACGCAATTAAAACTTGAATTGATGCTCATATTTTGTGGAATTCTTCTCCTTATTATTATACAACTGACTGAAATACCTTTTGTTAATGTTTTATATGGATTTTTAATTATTAAATGTAAATCACAAGGTGAGGAGGATCTGATTGGCCCATCTATAAATGGGGCTGCAGAGACTTTGAGGAGGACAGAGAATTGAACCTTCTTCTATTTCAGCAGGTGGCAGACATAATGCTAAACATGAATTATTTCCATAGTTGGCATTCAAACTTTATTCTGCAATTTATCCATGCTTTTATTAAATTTCCCAAAGCTTATATCTCAGTTTTTTTAGATACTTATTTCAGAATTATTTAATGTTTTAGGAAAAGTCCCACAAGGACAACATAGCATAATTATGAGGAAGTTATTAAAAATAGCCAAGAGAAAAATTGTTGTGAGTTAATCTAGAGCAGATATGAAATATTTAATCTCTTTATTTCATAACAAGCATGCTGTATGACTCTGATTATGTAAATGACAGAGACTTGCTATAAAAATGATCCAACAAAATGCAATAGTTGAAGGGAAAAACATAAGAACCATCGGAACCTCTCCCTCCAGAGCTTCCAGAGGAGGTCTGCAGTCCATCCAAGTTTCCAGCTGAAGGTCAGGCTTGCTGATACCCTGGTCTTACTCGTCTCACTAAGTCTGGTAGCCTCTGTGGGGAGGTGTCCGCCTTGAGTAGGTGGCAATAGTTCCTTATTTAGACAAGGATGCTGAATGGGCTAATGACAACACTGCTGTCTCTTTTATGCCCCGATCATGATTTTACAAAAACAGGCTGTAAATACACATAACATTGAATCCTGCTTCTCTACCAGTTGCCACTGACTTGAT